AACTCAGAAGCGGAGCCTTCTCATGAATGTAGATTGGTCATATCCAGCCCTGCATTAAACTAGCCAAATCTCTAACAGTAGGATCTTGGCAGGCTGTTCACAGCCAGAACCTTGTGTGCATTTCATCCATTTACATCTAAGTTCTTGTTTATCTTCCACCATACTTACTCCTGTAGGGAGACACCTGCAACCACACCTTAGAAGGCCTGGTTACGGCGTCTCCCTACAATTCTCCTTTTAGTCTAAAAGAGGATGTTTCCTTCACAACTACCTCTAGTGTCCCTCTGCTATTCTAATTACCACTTACCTCCTTAGTTATACGGTTTCTGGTCATTCCATAAACCCTTGATCTAATAGATCCTCTTGACACACTCCCTCAGAACAATTCTCCCCAAAACCTTGCCTTGGTCTTGCAATACGGTCCAGGTGGCTTTCTTACCTCCACAAACCTTAGACCCAACTAAGTTAGGGGACAGAGTGAGTGATGAGCTGAACCTCTCTACCAAAGGGCCTCACTCCAAAGCCTATAACTTTAGCTATTTTGCTCCTTCCAACGTTTATTTCAGAGGGATACCCTAAGAAGAAACTCATTTCTTTAAAATATCAAAGAACTAAAAACAGGGGGGTGACAGAGGTTTCTGGAGACAAACTGCAAAGTGTATAAATAAAATTCTGCCAAGTGTCCACAGAAGTATTCTAAAGAATGCATTCCTGCTGTAGTTGCCCACCACCCTCAATATTACATTTAGCTAACTGAATTTTCTGTGGATCAAATTTATTCAAAGTGAAATTTCTCTTAATAGGTCATCTGAATAAACAATTTCAAGTGTTATTTGCCAAAAAAACAATATGTTTCCAGGCTTCAGATGAAATCGGCAGTGTCAGGCTAAGAAAACAGCCTCAAAAACTCACACAGAGCTGGAACAATTGCACTAAAAAATTGGAGCCTGGAGGTCAGTCTTTTCACTCAGTTCTGGAGGGAAAAAAAATGATAGGTTTCTACAAAAACCAGGGGAGATGAAATATATCATTCTTGTAAAAATAAAAAATAATATATTCCTAAAGTGGCAAGTATCATATAAAGAGTAAGACACCCCAATACTGCCAGACCAGTCACACGGAGCATTACTATTTCATAAGAGGCCCTGCACCCTGCTACTTGTAGCCTACAAATGGGGCGCTCTAGGCTGTTGACCTTCAGGGAAAAGGAAAGAGGGGCAGAGAGAGAAGAGGAGGAGAGGGAGAGGTGAGGGGGCAGGGAGGAGAAGGGAAAGGGAAAAGAAGGTTGAAATGATGTGGAATTATGCAGATGCAAGGAAGTTATTAGGAGAAGCAGGAGGCTGACTTGGAGTAGAAGTTTTGTCAGTCTCTATTCTGGAAATTTCTCTGAATTAGTGGGTTTGTGTAATGGAAGGGATGAAAGCTGGAGTTCTATTTCATAGTTGAAGAAATGGAGCTCTGAAAAGCAAACCAGTTCCATGACAACAGGAGGAAATAAATGCCCTAATTCTACCACTAGAGCCTGAATCTATAGGCTTTCTCTAACAGCATCTAAAATGAGGGTTTCCAAGGACACAGTCTTGGAACTGAAAACTGTAACAACATAAGTAGTAACAGACTGTGCTTCAGGACAAATGTTACATTAACTCCTGCCTATGACCTTGACACCGTGGCTCACATGGCTACAGCTCAACTGGCACCCAGCATGTTGAAGTTTCAATACAAACAATCACTTCTCCAAGCACAGAGGGAACCCCAGTCCATAGTCTCTGTCAATGCAGGGCCATTGCTGGCATCACAAATAAGAAGGGAAAGAGTCCAGAAACCACAGGCTCCCTCCCTAGCCCCTACATTAAGACTTCTGAGAGCAGACACCACTGTATTCAGTCAGCACAATGATATTCATTGTTTTCAGAGCCTCTTAAAGGAAACCGGACAATGATTGGTGAATGGACTCGCCACAGCTCACTCCAGCTAAGTCCTCTCACTCAACAAGTCAGAGGTAGAGATAACACAGCAGCTCCCTACCATTACCCACAGTTTCGTTTACTTTGGTTTCCTGGAGTCAACTATGGTCCAAAAACATTAAATGGAAAATTCCAGACATGAGAAATTCATAACTTTTATTATAGTACATTGATATAATTGCCCTATTTTATTAGTAGTTGTTACTATTCATCTCTTTTAAATTAAAGATATATATATATATATATATATATATATATATATATATATAT